GCTGAGATACTTTTCCAAGAAAGCCGCTGCGTCTCTGGCAAGACTACGAGCTGTACGCCGTTGGTAAGTGTCTAGGGGTTCCGTTAACCTCAAAATAGAGTCGTTGTCGTGGACATGGCGTTCTTCATACAGGCACGCCATTTCGTTGCGCCGCTCCTTGGCAATAGATTTCATTGAGGTCGCCGCATTACCAAGCGAACCCGTATGGCTTCCCTTACCAGCTCTGGGAGTATTCTGGCTTGTGCTCCCCTCTGCGGTGCGTCGGTTCTTAGGCGTAGTAGGGCCTACCCAGTACCGCAAACATGGGATTAGTAAACTGTGATTTTTGCGAGGCTTTCTCTAAAATGGCATGGAAGCTTGGTTTCAAAACTTTATGCTTACGGTCACTAGAGACATCTGCCTTTATACTTCCGGGGAGCCGGGAAGCCCTTCGCCGGGTTGAGTCGTCTATCGGAGGGTCACCTTGCTTTCAGGCCTTTTGGACGCTTGAGCTTTGCTCGGCAACCGATTTGGGCTTTGTCGTTGGTAGCTGGCGGACGCCGTTGCAATGCAAAAATAAGATAAAAAAAGTGTGAAGGTGTTTGGAAATTTAAAAGAAGCGAACAGGCGAATTTGAAAGCACAAATATTGAGCGAAAAAGAAGTAAACACTCTGGTTGTTTACGATTAGTAGGCTCGGCTTGTTGATTTTCTCCCGTAGATCAGTTGCATATGATTTAGAGGCCAAGGATTGTTTGTGGTGAAGCGATTGCCTCACCGCTCTCTTTTCTTATTTCTATTAGTACCGCTTTCTTATTAGCCCTGCCGCTTCTATCGCAATTCAAAGGCAATGTCTACTCTTTCGCTTATTCAACTTCTCCCGCTTCTAGTCGTTAAGCAGGTTGTCAGCCATGCAGTGGGCGGTGGCCGCACGACGCTTGATGAAGCTGCCAAAGACTCTCAAGAGTACAAAGCGCTACTGAAGCCGCTGCTGTGGGTCAGCAGCAACTTTCGCGCTGTCGCACTCCCTCTCTACTGCAATAACTTTAAGATAAAAATGTCCCTCGCCGTGCAAGCTGACCAAAGTGATCATTGCGTTGCCTACAAGTATCTTGGCCACCCGACGCACCACCTGGCCAAGGAGCTTGAAATCGAGCTTGACGAGCGTGCCATCGGTTCAGGCAAGGCATTGGATTTTTTGTCTGGCGCACCCTACGACGGCTGCGCATTTCCCTTGGCTTTCAAGTTGACGCTCTCGCTTACTGCGGAAACGCCGAGCGATGTGGATGAGAGCGCTGAAATCGCTTTACCAACAGCTGAGGCTAACATTGGCGCATTTGTGGAGCGGGTCAAGCAGATAGTGCCTGCTGTCAGGGATATTCGAGTACAGCCGGAGGACGAGTACTCGCCCGAAATCGGCGACCACCTTGCCGGATACTTGGTTGCTCAGCTCTTCCAGCTGGTTGGCCACATTGACTATGACTATGGCTATAGAGATGGTACTGCGACGCGCTTGTGGAAGCACTTGGATGCTGTCTGCAACCTGACGCACATTACGTATACTAATATGAGGGGTTGCGGGTGCTTTTTGCAGTCGGTGCGGCAGAATGCACCAACGCTGCAGGACCTGGACATCGATTCTGAACATTACTATGTTGACATATGTGGGCTTATTCGGAACACCGACGGTAACCCTATAACGTATCCACGACTGCTTGGACTGAGTCTTAGGTGCCGGATAGATTTTGATGATCATGAGCGCGTGGTTACTCCCGACCTCGTGCCCTTCCCTAACCTTCAGCATTTAACTCTCGTACCGGAATACCCGTTTGGCGACGACGTGGTTTTTAGGGGCAACGCGAGTACGCTCGAGACCTTGGAGCTAGGCCTATTCAGCACGACGATATCTTTACTTTGCGGACACGGTGTGTTTACACCGGTCAGTCACCCAAAGCTTCGGCATGTGAATTTCGAGTGTTACGAAGGGAAAGTAGCAGATTTGTTTGCCTCGCCCACTGACTATGCGCAGTTCGTTCTCGGCGTCAAGCCAAAAGCTCACATGAAGTCAATCGTAGTTGAATCCCTCGGCGAAAGCCTGATGTCTGTACTATTGGCGCCAGACACTCATACGTGCATTCAAGATCTCAGAATGTCCGGCCAACCGAGCCTTTGGGAAGTTTTTACGTTGGTCAAGTCGCTCCCGCTACTGTCGAAACTGCACACTGGAGCCCCTACCATTGATAATTTCCCTGATGGCGTTACCAAGGAAGAGCTGTTGGTGCGCGTACTCTCCAACTATACCCCAATGGGCGAGCGGCTTTATTACTGGTATATTGATAGCTCCAGTCGCCATCACACCCAAGCAGCTCTGAGTGTGCTGCTTTTAGCGCTGATGTGTCCCAAGTTTAACCAGGTCGCTACGTCAGATCATGGCCGAGATTCGCTCATGAATTTATTGGAGGAAACCATCGACTCTGAAATGTTTAAGCCATACGCGCCCCGACTGCGCCGTTTGTTGCCGCGAGGCTGGGATGGGAACGAGGCTGGGCTTAGAATGAACTCAAGAAAGCCAATTTATACCACTAGCATGGGGATTGAGGTGTTTTCAGCATCCCAGTTTTGATTACTCAGTTGTTTTCATCTCATATGTTGTCAACATATCCCGCTTCCCTTCTTTGCACACACACACACACTCTCTCTCTCTCTCTCTCTCTCTCTCTCTTTCTTTCTTTCTTTCTTTCTTTCTTTCTTTCTTTCTTTCTTTCTTTTTTTTTTTTCATTATTCCTTGTATATGGATTGTGCCTTTACCTGGGGGTGTTTTTTTTTGCCAAAGGCAAAAAATCTACCTGCGTCATCTAGATAACACGTATTGAAAGTAGGGGGCTGAGAAAAAAGTGACTTGGTTTGGGGATACTTCAAAGCAGTACAACGTGTAGTAGCAAACTAGTATGAGAAAAAGAAGTAGGAGGTAGAGAACGTAGCCTTTTATTTTCACTCAGACTATCTAGCCGAACATTCATTTATAGTGCACACCACACAGGGTGGGAAGTAAGGGGGTTGTTGGTGAGAAGAGGTAACTCTGTGAGCTGAGGCATAGGCACTGTCGCAAAGCATGATAAAGGTGTAGGAATTCATTAGGAAGTTTGATTAAAAAAATATAAATTTATTAGTTAGTATTGGTTTTCGACAGTAAAAAAATTTGAAAATCAGAAACTCTAAAAGCGAGTTGTACACATTGCAAAAAAGAAAGGGAAAAAAAGAGTGGAGAAGCGGGGTCTCGATCCCCGGGCTTTTCGCATTTTTAGTGAGAAAACTGCAAAGCGAACGCTCTACCTCTGAGCTACATCCCCTGGTTTGCATGAGTGGCCTAGTTTGAGCTAGGTCCGAAACTTGCATATTTTACACTGGGGCTTTTTGTTGCCACTATCAGAGTAGTTTTTTTTATGCATGTGGTTTGCATGATTTCATCAGCCAAACTGATTGAAACAAGTGAGAAAAGGCATGGTCAGAGACCATTCAACTCAATGTCTTGCATTAGCTAACAAATTAATTGCTACTAGGCACTCTGATACAAGGCTTAGGTTAGAATAAACACATTCCAGAATCTCCCCGATTCCCTTTCCCTTGTCCGGGGAATCGGGTATAAATACTAAATAAACACTAGCTAAACCCGACTCGTTCGTGATATCAATGTGAGGCCTCCATATATCAGCTCCTGATATATGCTCACACGTCACACACTCTGTCTCTGACACAAACACAACACATGATTTGGCAGCATAGTACTTGATGTAGTTCTGCACCCTACTGGTGCCATCTGTATTCACTATACCTGACTGTATTAAGAGCTAATAAGCGATATAAGAATAATAGGGTGGAAGGAACTACTGTTGAGAAGGGGTTGCTGGCCATGGGCACTGCCTTTATAGCCAGCAGCAGTGGGTGTTTCAGGTATGTGCCATTCCCATGATGCCACAGACCATGGCCATATTTGGTCATCACTATGCCACTGTGGCTGTGGTATAGTGAGGGCCCAAAATATAACACTTGAAACTGACTGACTGACATGGCTGTGCCTAGTGCAAAGAGTGAACTGAGAGAGTGAACTGATTTATTGTCATTGATGATTGAGTCGTTGTATTGGGGCCCTGTATGGGCACAGTCCGAGGTCACTGACACTAGGACCAACCTAGTGCCTTAACTAGAAGCAGTATGCATTCTTTTGGTATTATCAACATCGTACATCCATACATTCATACATTCATGCACTACTTGTGGCCTCTCAAAGCCAGATACTATTTTCATGGCACTTAGCTTGGCAAACCATCTCCACGCCAACACAGACACTGGGAAAGGCAGTCCTGTCAGCCACGCTGGGCACTGGAAGCTACTACCCCTCGCTACATTCAAACCTGCTTCCACCTACCTACCTACCTA